ATACTCTCATGTCATGGAAAAGAAATGGCTGTCTTTTTTTTATGAAGAGGTTGGTACATGTACTTTCACTGTTAGAAAACTAACCCTGTTAAGTTTCCTATGACAATCCCAAATCTTTTTTTATTAATTTTATATACTCCCTTTATTCCACAATTAGTTCATATTTCCCTCCCATTTGTTCCAAAATAGGTGCATTTTGAGTAATTATTACACCAAAGTTTATGCAATTAGGAATAATTGCATTGGAAATAAATAAAATGAAAAATAATCACATAATATTTGATAAAGTAGGAGTATTCTAATTTTTGTTTTGGTTTGTATTGGTAATGAACTTATTTTAGGACAAATGGATTAGTTCAGGGTAACCAAAGTCCAATGATTTTAGTTCCAAACAAAATAAAATATATACATATTTAAGTCAATTGTGTCCGACACCCCTATTTTCAACTACAATTACGACTCTAACCCTATTTTTTTTATAAAAAAATAGGCATGTTTGGTACGGCTCCAACTCTAGCTTCAACTCTTATGGAGCTAAAGCCCAGCCAAACAGTTTCAACTCCACCTAAAATATGAGTTGAGCTGAGTTTAGATTGCTCAACAACTCCACTATAGATCCAACTTCTAGAGCTAAAGAGTTGGAGCTCTGCCAAACAAGCCCAAAATGGTTAAATTTTGCCGAAAGCCTTTTTTACATTCTAGCAGGCCAAAGTGCAGCCCAAAAGGCCCAAACTCGGCAACGAAAGGCCCCAACGAAAGGAGGAAGCAAGCAAACAAACAAAATCCCCCACCCAACTGGAGAGAAGAGAAGCGGCAAGAAACCCTAGCGACATGCTCCAGATTCGCCTCAGCAAGATCGGCTCGTCGGACTCCGGCGCCGCCGCGTCCGGCGCGGCGGCCGGGGCCGGCGGCGGGGTCGGAGGCGGCGGCGTAGGCGGCGCCGGCGCCGGCGCCGGCGGGGGCCCGCCGAAGTCGGCCTCGGCGGCCGCGGGCGGGGCCCCGGAGTCCGTTACGGTCGCGTGCCCCGACCACCTGGTGATTGCCGACCTCGCCGTGGCAAAGAGCCTCGGCGCCGTCACGACCTCCGCCGTCGCGGCCGCCCGCACCATCGGCCGCCGCTCCCGCCGCCCCCTCGGCGAGCGCGTCCACATCTGCTGCCGCTGCGAGTTCCCCATCGCCCTCTACGGCCGCCTCGTATGCACCTATAGTAAAACCCTAGCTCCTCCTCATTTTTCCTCATTTTCTATGTGCTTGCCTTTTGCTAGCTGTGCTGTGGTTTGAGGGGAAAAAAGTTTTAGTTCATCGCAAGAAGTTTAAAGTATATATATATATATATAGAGAGAGAGAGAGAGAGAGAGAGAGAGAGAGAGAGAGAGAGAGAGAGA